AATATATATATATATATTCCTTTTTGTATTTTTTCATTATAGACCATTACAAGGTATTGAGTATACCTTTTCTATGTCTGTGAGTCTGTCTCTGTTTTGTAAATAAGTTTGTGTCCTTTTTAAAAAAATATTCCACATATAAGTGATACCATAAGGTGTTTCTCTCTCTCTTCCTGGCTTACTTCATTTAGCATGACAATCTCCAGGTCTATCCATGTTGCTGCAAATGGCATGATTTTATTTTTTATGGCTGAATAGTATTCCATTGTATATACAGCTTCTTTATCCTGTCATATGTCAATGGACATTTAGGGTGCTTCCATGTCTTGGCTGTGGTATGTAGTGCTGCTATGAGCATTGGGATATATGTATGTTTTTGAATTAGAGTTTCCTCCAGATACATGCCCAGGAGTGAGGTTGCTGGATCATATGGTAAGTCTACTTTTAATTTTTTAAGGAATCTCCATACTGTTTTCCACAGTGGCTGCACCAAACTACATTCCCACCAGCAGTGTAGGAGGGCTCCCTTTTCTCCACACCCTCTCCAGCATTAATCATTTGTGGACTATTTAATGATGGCCATCTGACTGGTGTGAGGTGATACCTCACTGCAGTTTTGATTTGCATTCTTCTGATAATTACGATACTGAGCACTTCTGTGTGTGCCTATTGGACATTTGTATGTCTTCACTGGAGAAATGTTTTAGGTCTTCTGCCCATTTTTTAGATTGGGATTTTGTTGTTATTGAACTCTTTGGATGTTCTGGAAATTAAGCCCTGTCAGTCTCATCATTTGCAAACATTTTATCCCATTCTGTCGGTTGTCTTTTTGTTTTGCGTATGGTTCCCTTTGCTGTGCAAAAGCTTGTAAGTTTAATTGGGTCACATTTCTTTATTTTTACTTTTATTTCTGTTGCCAGGGTAGACTGTCCTAGGAGAACATGGCTAAGATTTATGTCAGAAAATGTTTTGCCTGTTTTCTTCTAGGAGGTTTATAGTGTCTTGTCTTGTATTTAAGTCTGTAAGCCATCTTGAGACCGTGTATGGTGTGGGGCGTTCTGACTTCACTGACTTAAATGCAGCTGTCCAGCATTCCTAACCCCACTTGCTGAACAGACTGTCTTTTCTCCATTGTATATTCTTGCCTCCTTTGTTGAAGACTGACTTTAAGCCCGTGGGTTTGGGGTTTATTTCTGGGCTCTCTGTTGTGTTCCACTGATCCGTATGTCTGTTTTTGGGCCAATACCATGCTGTTTTGATTACTGTAGCTGTGTAGTATTGTCTGAAGTCTGAGTTATTTCTCCAGCTTCGTTCTTCTTCAGTATTGCCTTGGCAATTCTGGGTCTTTTGTGATTCCATATACATTTTAGGATTATTCGTTCTGCTTCTGTGAAAAATGTCCTGGGTAATTTGATAGGGATCACAGTAAATCTGTAGATCGCTTTGGGTAGTATGGCCATTTTAACAGTATTAATTCTTCCAATCCAAGAACATGGGGTATCTTTCCGTTTCTTTAAGTCATCTTTAACTTCCTTAACATTTTGTAGTTCTCCACATGTACGCCTTTCACCTCCTTGGTCAGATTTATTCCTTTTACTTTTTTGGATGCAATTTTAAAAGGGACTGTTCCTTTGCTTTCTTCTTCTGATATTTCATTGTTAAAGAAGCACAGCCGACTTCTGCATGTTAGCTTGCCTCCTCCTTCCTCGCTGCGTTTGTTCATCGGCTCTAGTAGTCTTCACGCGGAGGCTAGGGTTTTCCATACATAGCGCCATGTCATCTGTATACAGTGACAACTTTACCTCTTCTCTTCCAACTTTGGTCCCTTCTATTTCCTTATTTTTTTCCTACTATTTTATGGTGAACCGTTATTAATTTTGCGTCCTGTTTGTTGTTTGTTTAGCTTTTCTGACTGTTCCTGGCAGGAGGATTTGTCCGAATTACAGGTTCACTGCTGCTGAAGTGTGTAAGTTGCACTCAGCACTTCATTTACATCCTCAGCAGATACTACCGACCTCACACTGTTAAGGATGTGCACTCTAACAGCCGACTGAAGCTGTCACTTCCCCCCACAGCCCTCACACTTCTTCTGGAATAAACCACTGAGGGCACACTTTACTGCTGCTGAGGCCTTTGCTAGTGGCCGTCTCCCTCTCACACACAGTTCTCTCCCTTCTCCTCTGCCTGCGCCTGGGTTGATACCCACCTTTGCTGGTGCTGGTCAGGATGAAAAGGCTTCTAAGTTTTGCTACAAACCATGTGAACTTGATAAAATATGCACATGATATACAAATAATTCAGTTATTTATTTATTTTGAATAAAAAAGTGGCCAAGATAACAATACTAGTGGCTCTGCATACAAAACACAACATAATTGAGGTTACTCCACATTTACAAAACTGCCATTATGTACAGCACCGGATATTCACAGCAGCTTGAATAGACTCTCTAAGTACTAGAATCATAAGAGCAATTGAGGGGGATCCAAAATGGGAAAAAGCTAAAAACCAATGATCTTTCATTAACTGGAAAACTGGCCAACCAGCCAACTGGTAAAGAAAGAGGATCTGCTACCTTTTTCTCTAGTAATAATTGAAATAGGGTCGCCCCACAGAGTGGCATCTGACAAACACCCTCCAAAACTTCCATTTCGTTTTCTCAATAGTCTTTCCCACTTCAACCTTTCCCCAGAAAACTCTGCCCTCGTATCAGATAAAAAGCTCAGGACACTGGCTTTTCTTCAGGGAAAGGTCAACGGGTGCTAAGGATACAGCATGGTCTGCTTCAAGCCCAGGAAAGAATTCCGCCCTCTCTGGTCATCAGTTCTTTGCAGTTTTGAACGCCCTGGGAAGCGTGAACCATGCTTCCTCTTCGAGGTGGCGGGAAGTTACTCATTCTCTGTATCGCGAGCACCTACTCTGTGCAAGGCACTTACATTAGGTGCTGCAGGAACTACCAAGACGAGACCGACAGTTCCTGCCCTCGAGGAGCTTACAATCTAATAATGAATGCTACGTACATATGCACAATGCGGAGAAGCCGCTGATTCTTCCAGATGGGGGCGTTCCAAGCAAAACGTGCTATTATTCTTAAAAGTTTTTTTTTTCATTTAAACACAGAAAGTCAAACACACACACCACCTTATCAGATGGTAAGAATTAAAAAAACCATCTCCTCCCTGTAACCTTAAGTTTTTAGATGCCTGTTCTTTTTATTTCAGAAAATGTCATATGTAAACAGACACATAATTTGAAGCCAAGCACAGAGATTAGCACAGGCATTGGGTAAACATAAAATATATCACCATACACAACACAGACTCATTTTTCTATATAGTCTTATTTCTGTGTACACGAGGTTGATTTTCACTTTCCTTTCATACACTGAAGTACAAATCTGAGTCAAAGTCTTTAAAAAGACATAATTCACTTTTTTGCATTTAATTCTGCATTAGTACCAAAACCAAACAAAACACCCTAAACCTCACCAGTTTGTTAGCCACACGTCAGACTGATGGAAGTCTGAAATGCTCCCAAGCCATTACCACTACCTCCAACACCATCCAATGTAACCATGTCACAGGAGTTTTTCTTCATGAAACATGATTTCATGATTGTGAAGTAAGCAAAATTTTACCTTAGAAGTAACTGTAAGATTCAGAGTTCTGAAATTCAGTTCTCCCTGACTCATTTGCAGTATTTCAACCAGACAGCCTTTATCACGTCAGTTTGCAAGTATCAGCCCCCTCTTTCAGCCCCTCCCAACAGCCTCTAGCAAACCATGTAATACTGTGCTAAACACACTCACCTCAGATTGTAGACCTCACTCTCCCCTACAGAACAGTTGTAACTTCAAGAAAAGGCAAGGTAAGAAAAGCTAAATCACCTTATCAGATAAAGAGGCTGGGGGAGAAACATTCATATACCCAAATTTAATTTCTTTACAGGACATCTTTATAAACAGTCACTCCCCTGCTAAATGTATTTCCAAAGCAAGTTTTCAGAAACAGCCGTCTGAAACCATACATGCAGACGGGAGGCTGCATCCTATTTGCCAGACTCAGACTAGCCAGTGAGTCCTCGCATTCACAGCCTCTGCAACACCCTGCTGTTCATCAGGACAGTGACGCTACAGCAAGAGTGGTCTTCAGAAACAACTCTGCAAATCTGACTTAATATAAGGGCAGTCAAACCGCACGTGCTCCAAGATCAGTTTGAACACCAGATATGTTAGCAAATGTGACGATCTTAACTCCAAAAACCTCTTTTAGCGTCAAGAAAGAGTAGTTCAAAGCTTAGTAACTGTGAGACTTGAGACCTGGTCTGAAACTCTGCTTGAGCTGCCAACTGATATTTCCACTAATAGCTTAAGTAAAAACACTCACTTCAGTTAGACCCTTTAGAGGCATTTTTATAACCCGACAACCCTGAGGGGAGGAGCCAGACCCTCGAGAGGCTGTGAGGTCAGCAGTGCTGAACTCCATGCCATGGGGAGCGGGGCAGCGCGCGAGGCCACGGCCACCCTCGGCCGCAGGCACCTGCAGACGGGCAGCCTGTGCCGGGCTACCGATCAGGCTACGTGCTGTTTGTGCCGCCCAATCCCAGAAAGAAAAAGGGCGCAACCTATCTTTACCTTAAAAAATCCAGGCCTGCCGACTTCGAATATACCAGAGTTTTTGCTCGTCAGGAATAACCAGCTCGGGGTGCGGGGTAGGTGGTAGCGAGGGGCTGAAATCTAGCAAACTCCACCCGAAGTTCAGCCTGGAGCTGTTGAGCTCTCTAACAAGGAAATCAGAATTCAGAATTTTGAAGAAAACCAGATAGTTGACCAAGTTGTTAACAACCGACAATATTTCCTCTAGGAAGAAAAAGCTACTGTTTAACAGTTTCCTCTAGGAAGGGAGGCCCACTATGCTATTTAGACTTTAGAAATTTGGTCACAAACCTAGTTTTCTTTCAAACATTAAATCTGCTAGCTTGGAAGGCGTCCCAGCAGAGCTGAGAGAACTGCAGGGATGGAGATGGAGAGGCGTCTCCTGGAAGGAGAAGCAAGGGAGCGAGGTCAGGAACAGAGGATGGAGAGACCCCGTGGGAATCGGACAGTGATGGTAACTCCCGGTTTCATTTCAGGAGCTGTGGCAACTCCCCGAACCCTGATGCAGCACACACGCTGCCAGGGCCGCAGATGCCCCGTAAAACCAGCTGTGTTCCGCCTGACAACACCAACTGGCCTCGATTTCTTTTGCATCTTACCTGGCACCATTACAATGACAACAGATATATTTCAATATTTAATTATCACCCTTTAACATTCTTTTAACCTAATTAACCAGTGATGCTCTCTACTCACAGGACTAACCCACACGCTCCAATGTGAACGCTCTCAGAACTCCTTAGAGGGAGAGGCAGAAAACTGTCACGCTCAGCCGCGAGCTCTGCCGGGGGTTCTAGTAACTTCTGACACTGAAAAATAATGGGTAGTTGTGGCAGATACAACAGTAGGCAGAGGCTGCCTGAAGTCTGGGCAGTGGACACATGAGGATTTCATCATGAATATCAAGTGTAACAAGCTATCAACTTCTGATCTAGAATAGTAGGAACAAATTAACCCTGGACAGAGAAGATGTGATGCAGGTGTGGATATCAGAGTCCCAAAATGCAACAGTGTCGTAGCTTCAAAGGTCTAGTGGTACAGGACCTGCGCTCTTGCGCCTTAATGCAGAGTGGTGACATCACTTCTGCCACCTCTCCTGTTCCCGTGGAGACAGTGACAGTGGAAATAAACCTGAAAGCCCTTAAACAGGTCAGGCAGGTGTTAGGAAGGTGCAGAGGGTACATACAGGAAGTGTGAACCAGGCAACTGGTCTGAAGCTTCTGGTGTCACTCCACCCTTCAAGGTTTCACAGGTCAGCATGCTGTCACCAGGTATGCTGACCCTTAGTGACAGTCAGAACGGCACTCTGTTTGTGATGCTACCAGTAACTGAAAATCTCCCGTGCTCACAGGTCCATGGGTTAACCGCCAGAGTGGGGGGTACGAGGGAAGGGAGTGAGGGCTCCCAACTCCATGTGGGGAAATCTGGGCTGAGGCAGGTGTTGGCTGGATTTCAGAGTCTGAAGAACGCCAGGGGGCCCAGCCCCATGCAGACAGAAGCCATGTTCTAGTAGAACAGTTGCCATGTTTATTCCTACACAGACATACAAAAGAATTTGGGAGATCCTTTTTAGTTAACTCCTGAGAGTCAAATTTTCTCCCAAAATGCATAACTGCTTTAAATAAAAACTTAATGTAAGTTTTAAGTGGCAGCAGCAAAAAATCCCCTCATAAGAACAAATCAACTACTACCTCTGATTAGGAATAAAGAAACAAGTGAACCCAAGCATGCCGTGACTATGAAAACTGCAGTAAGTCCTTGACGTGATCGCAGTCTTCACTGTCATGTTTATGATAAAGTGAAACAGGTCTTGGCACAAACGACCACAGCTGCACCGCTCTCTGAGTTGTGTTATTCATGATCTTAATGCTGCCTGGTTCTCCTCCTTGACAATCAATTTAACACGCTAGACCTGGATAAACATGATCCTTGAAATTACCACAAAAATGAAAAAGATAAGCAGAAGACTCAGCAAGTACAGAATTAAACACAGGGGACAAAAACAAAAAACTGAGAAACAAAAGACATTTCAAACCAGACTGGAAGTGCCTCTTAAGGGCTCCTGTCTCCAGCCCACGGGGCAGAGCGGGGAAGAGCACTACACGCGTGCTGCGTCCTGCAAATGACAGCGTTTCTCAAGTGAGGACAGAGGACCTTTCACTAAGGATACAAAAATAAAAGCAGTAATAAGTGTTAGAATAAAGGCAAAATAGTGTGTAGTATGAGCTAGAATTTCACATTTTGTATTTCCCATCCAACTTTCCAGAAATATGCACCCTTTAAGATGCGTGCATTGCAGCCCTGGTAGTTAGCACCAATCCCTAGGATACTGATTTTAAAAATCCAACAACACTGTAGCTCCAGAATGTCTATTTTTAATCCCAGGTTTTAAGACCAATTAATGCCTAGTATCTCCTCTTAACAGCCCACAGGAAAATACCTGTATTATAAATATCAAGGACCTTTGCAGAGAGAAGGAATCTCCAGGCTCTGGTCAACAGAGCTGCACACACCTGCCGCACCAGAGCTCAAGCGTCCGCACGTCTGAGTGGTCCGTCTCTTTCTGGAAGTCTCTAGATAGATCCTGTGCACACTATATGGGATATAAATGAAATGTCTGGAAATGTCAACATTAGAAATACTAAGTGTTTTAATTTAATACTAAAAGGAGAAAATATTCTTTTTCCTCTATGTACAAATCTCTCCCAGTCATCACAGTTAAGTCTGAAGCAGGGATGAGATGCAGGTGGACTGGAATACTTGACATCCTCATGCACATTAAGGAGCCGGAGGCAGGAGATCTGATGACATGGCAGAGATCGTTAAAAATGAGTCGCAATTGTTAACCTGTAAGAGTCACCTGATCTTTTGACACATTAAAACCAACTCTAGTCTTGGCTTCAACCTCTTAAAAATATGTAGTTTTAAGAAAATGTTTTCAATATCCATGAAAAACAGGAATTGGCAGGATGCAGATCTGTGCCTATTTGTTGAGAACAAAATATCCGGCCCACGTGCTGTTTTAGACACTTTTTGTATCTGCTGGAACACCGAATGCCACGTACCAGGTCACGGAAACTCTCTGGAGCCACATGGCAGTTCCAGACCAAGGCCGGGATGAAAGCCTAACTCAGCCCAGGCAGGCCCTTACCCACACTCCCTAGAAGAGGTTGTCCTCTCTGAGAAATGAAAGGGCATGCGTTTTGTTCAAGCCACTTCAAGACACTTGAAAAATAAGTGTTCCTCACTGAGTAAGGAGTGGGGAGTTAATGTTCATCTCAAAATGACTTAAAATCTCCACACTCCGTCATTCTAAAGATATCCTTTAGTCCCTGGAGATGGAGACTGCACTTCAGCAGGCAGTTCCCAGGGCCCCATTTACAGTCATGAAGAGCACCTCTCCTGCCGCGAAGGCCGGGCTTCCTCCCACGCACCCGGTCCCTCCCGGCTGGAGGGCATCTTCTATACAGAGCATGTGCCCTTCCTGTCTTCCCGTCACTGACATTCAGAAGACAGGAGAATCACAGAAGGGGCAGGGGCTTTGCAGCAATCTCTTAATCCAGTCAGGATCTGCAAAAGTAAGACAATTAGTATTAAGTGTTAACTTCAGAAAAGGCAGTCCAAATGGGATGAGCCCTGGATGGACCAGTGCCAAGAGGTGGGCATCTGGTCCCAGCTCTGTGTCCCTGGACAAAGCACCTCACTGCAACACTGTAAACGAGACTTTAAAGAAAGGACTATACTTTGTTCTGGGAGTGTATCTATCATACATGGTTAATGTTAAAATGCTCATAAAATTACAGTAACACTTTTAAAACGTGTTACTTTGAAGAAGGAAAAACCTGGCAACACTGTGTCAACACCTCTTCCTGCTCTGAAAAGTCCCCTCCGGCTGCGGACGCTCTGCTCACTGCTTAGCGCTCTGCAGCTCTCCCAGACCCTCGTTCTCCCCAGAAACTCTATGTAGCTCAGCTCAAAGTCAGTCAGCGTGTCTTTTTCTTAAATTTGTTTTAATCTTCTCCTGATTTCCTGTCTAAATAGTATACCAACTCTCAACTGCAAGGAGTGCTTAGAAGTTCCCTAAAATTTGTTTCAAAGTAATCCAGTAAGAGAAGGGAAGGCCGGAGGACTATAGATGAAACATGAGAGGTCATCAGTTGGAAATTTCCGAAGTTAAACGATGGGTACGTAAGAGTTTCCTATACTCTTTTCTCTACTTTTATGATTGTATTTTCCATAATAAAGAGTTAGCACACAAGCTGCTGATATACCTCCTTCTCAGAATTAGAGCGCTTCGGCCAGTTTAGAGCAAAAATCAATAAAGGTGTAGTTTACATGGAATGTTTGGTTTTACTTGAGACCAAGTATTACCCCCAAATGTACATAACTGTCACACTGTGTCTCTTCGCTGATCTGGTGAGTGTAACGTTAATGAACCTCAGGTCATAAACGGACATTCATGGAACTATTTAAACCACTAATCCCCTGCTCGTGTCTACAGTCTTATTCCCAGCTAGTCACTTCAGAAATGTGGGCTTTGAC